TTGACCCACAGGGTAGTGATCTCCTGGGGCAGATAGATGTTCCTACTCCCAAACAACTGGATCACAGTAAAACCTCTGAACCTACCGATGCAGTGCTAAGTTGAGGATTGTGCATGTGTCATATTGACCGGTAGAATTCTCTCTCTGGCGTTGTCTTTTCTGTGTTGCGTGGTCAAAGTAAAAGTGAACATGTTTTAAGTGGTTGCTTCTCCGTCTGTTCTCAAATATCTGTCTACTTCTCTCTTTTTTTCTTTTTTCTGTCGACTTCTCTTTTGGAAATGGAAATCAGTGCTGCCAAGGGAGAGCCTTGTGTTGAGCTTGGAGGAATTAGGTTCTTGGCATTTTACGTAATGGGAGTTGCTGTCTTGGAGACATTTTGGTCCAAGTGCCAGGCACTCTAAATTCTTTTTCTAATGCTAATTCTTGGGTATCATTATTTTCATTTGCATTTAAGGAAACTCACCCAGAAAAACTAAGTAAATTTGCCCAAAGTTTTAGAGCATCTGAGTGGTGGGCTTGTTATGTAAATGTAGGTGTATTTGACTCTAAAGACCATGGATATAGATTCAATTATTGGGATTAGAAGAATTTGAGCCACCACCTTGTGCACAGTACTTCTTAAGCACTTGATATGCAGAAGTAGACGGCCTCTTATCATTGACTCCAATGAGAAAAAAAGTTAAGCTTTTATATATCTATATCTATATATCCAGTATATATATATATATCCAAAATCCTTATCTATCTATCTATCTATCTATCTATCTATCTATCTATCTATCTATCTATCTATCTATCTATCTATCTATATCCTGGTTTTCTTCACCCTCCTTGTCTCCTGCATTCACTCTGGTTTTTTTTTTTTTGTTTCTCCAAGCTTGGCGATAACAAGACTATTCTTCTTCTTTTTTTAATCATTTTACTGGGGGCTCGTACAATTCTTATCACAATCCATATATACATCCATTGTACATTTGTTGTACATTGTACATAAACAATCCATATATACATCCGTTTGTACATTTGTTGCCATCATCATTCTCAAAACATTTGCCTTCTACTCGAGCCCTTAATATCAGCTGCTAATTTTACCCCCTCCCTCCCCACTCCCCCCTGCCTCATGAACCCTTCATAATTCATAAATTATTATTTTGTCATATGTTACACTAGCAGACATCTCCCCCTGCCCTCTTCTCTGCTGTCCATCCCCCCACTATTATTCTTTTCTCCTACCTTTAACCCTCTGGTATACAAAAACAGTGAACTGCATTGGCATTAGGGTTGTTTTTTGTTTTTAAACTGGTCCAAAAGGTACCTAATATAAAATGATTCTTAAAATAAAAATAAATTGTAAACCTAACACTGTTCCTTTACATTCCATTTCTTTTCATCATCCCTCTTTCTTATAATCACAAATAGTGCCCACATTAAATATATTATAAAATTCATGATTCTATCACACACCAAACCTACCTCGCCCACTGTTTATGCATCTCAGTCTTACCCCAATCAGTCACTGGATAAGTTACTGGGATTTATCCGGAGAGTGTCTTTCCCTTATCCCATGGCAAATCTTTCCGAAAGTACTGTCAGATCTGCATCCAGATTATATCCCATATTTCTTAGCTGTACTACAGGAACCTTAGTGGCATTGTGGGTTAAATATTAGATTGTGATAACCTAAAGATTGATAGTTCAAATCCACCAACCACTGTGAACTGGAAAGATAAGGCTATTTGCTTTTGTAAGTGGAAACCTTATGGAGTAGTTCGATTCTGTTTGGCTCAACAGCAGTGGATAGGTTGCAATCTTTACGACAAAGCATCCTGGTGACACAGTGGTTAAAGCACAGGACTGCTATCCCCAAATTGGCAGTTTAAATCCACCAGTTTCCTTCCTGAAAAAAGCTATTACCTTCAGCTTCCATAAAGATTTATGTACTTGGGAAAAACAAACAAACAAACAAACATATGGGCACTTCTACTTGGTCCTGTAGGGTTGCTGTGAGTTGAATCAGAATCAACTTGATAGCAATAGATTTGCATTCTTAATTTTATCTTCATTAATGTCATTCTCCTCCAAGCCATGCTCATCTCTTGCTGAGACTGTGTTTGCTGTGACTCCCCTGGCCAGTCTAATAGGGGCCAGTCTCATGCTTAGAAACTTGCCGTGGGCATGCTCTTGGTGGAAATTGGAGTACTAGGGTCACATGGTTGTAAGTCATGCCCTCCCTACCAAGCTGGTCAGAGCTCCTCAGAACCAACCCTATAAACTTTTCTAATGTTCAGTGTCATATGTATCCAAATCATTGTCTCTTTCCCACTTCCAGACTCAGAGGCAACCCATTCCAAAAGTTTGTATTAAAGTTTAACTTTTTAAAATTGAGATAAAAGATAGAGTTACAGATAGAGTTATGCCAGAAAACCCACCAGTGGGTTTATTTTTATAAGTATATTTACAGAGCTGTGCATTTTTATGACTCCACCAGCAATCATATCGCATCCCTTCGTCCCTTGTGCTGGCAGCCAAAAGTCTATTTTCGGTTGTTATAGATTGCTTATTCTGAACTTTCATGTTGAGTTCCTGGCTTTTGATATCCCAGGTCAGTTGCTAGAAAAAGCTCAATGGAGTCTGACTCTTTCACTTACCATAAAGTTTCCAGGATTCCTCTGTGTTGCACATATATATGCACTCATATTTTTTAATGACCAAATATTTCTATGTATGATTATATCATATTTTGTATATTGGGTTTTCATTTGATGGTATCTGAGTTTCATCTCTTTTGATCAGAATAGTAAGTGCTGCTACACATTTTTGTGTGGATTTATGTTTTGTTTTGTTTTTTTTAAAACTCCGCTCCCAAACCAGCTGGGAAACCCTCTATGTTTTTATTATTCTTTTTGTTTTTGCTGTTTTTGATTTTAGGTGGTTTGGTGAGGGTGAACTTGCTAGGAGGTCATGTGTTGACTCTATCTTTAACTTTCTGAGTAATTGCCAAGCTCTTTTTCATAGCAGCTGTGCCATTTTGTCTTCTCATTAGCAGTGCATAAAGTTTCCAATTTCTCCACAGCCTCACGAGCATACATCATTATCCCTAATTATGTAGCCATCTAGTCAATGTGAACTTCTTCATATATCTATGTATATATATATTTTTAATTTTTAAAAATCATTTTATTGGGGTCTCGTACAATTCCTATCACAATCCATACATCCACCCATTGTGCTTCTTATATATTTTTAAAATTTTTAAATTAATTTTATTGGGGGCTCTTACATCTCTTATCATAATCCATACATTCATCTAGTGTGTCAAGCACATTTGCACATATGCTGCCATCATATTTTCAAAGCATTCTCTTCCCACTTGAACCCCTGATATCAGCTGAACTTTTTTTTTTCTGGGTACAGTGTACTTTATTGATGCTACATGACAAGGTTGGGCTCTCTAAGCCCCTCCCCTTCCTTCAAGGGGTCTGGATGGAATATTTTCAGTGTGTTGGGGTATTGAATTGGGGGCAAAGATTACCCAGCAGCTGAGGACCTCTCTTCCTCTAGTGCTGTTGCTGGGGCAGCTGGTCCAGGGGGGCTCTTACTCCTTGGAAGCCATGTGGATCATGAGGTCCACCACTCTGTTGCTGTAGCCAAATTCATTGTCATACCAGGAAATGAGCTTGACAAAGTGGTCGTGGAGGGCAATGCCAGCCCCAACATCAAAGGTGGAAGAATGGGGGTCACTGTTGAAGTCACAGGAGACAACCTGGTCCTCAGTGTAGCCCAGGGTGCCCTTTAGGGGACCATCGGCTGCCTGCTTCACCACCTTCTTGAAGTCATCGTACTTGGCGGCTTTCTCCAGACGGCAGGTGAGATCCACAACAGACACATTGGGGGTGGGGACACGGAAGGCCATGCCAGTCAGTTTCCCATTCAGCTCCGGGGTAACCTTGCCCACAGCTTTGACAGCGCCAGTAGATGCGAGGATGATGTTCTGGGCAGCCCCACAGCCATCACGCCAGAGTTTCCAGAGGGTCTGTCCGTGGCCTTTTGGGTGGCAGTGATGGCATGGACTGTGGTCATGAGTCCTTCCACGATACCAAAATCATCATGGATGACCTTGACCAGGGGGCCCAAGCAGTTGATGGTGCAGGAGGCATTGCTGACACTCTTGAGGGAGTTGTCAGACTTCTCGTGGTTCACGCCCATCACATGCATGGGGCCATCGGCAGCAGACAGGGCAAAGATGATCACCCTTTTGGCACTGCCCTTCAAGTGAGCCCCAACCTTCTCTAGGGTGGTGAAGATACCAGTGGACTCTACGACATACTCAGCACCAATTCACCCCACTTGATGTTGGTGGGATCTCACTCCTGGAAGATGGAGATGGCCTTACCGTTGATGATAAGCTTCCCATTTTCAGCCTTGACAGTGTCATTGAACTTACTGTGGGTGGAATCATACTGGAACTTGTAGACCACATAGTGCAGATCAATGAAGGGATCATTGATGGCCACAACATCCGCCTTGCCAGACTGGAAAGCAGCCCTGGTGACCAGGCACCCAATGCTTCCAAATCCATTCACTCCGACCTTCACTGTCGGGTCTCCGTGTCTCCGGGATGCGGCTGGGACTGCATGGGAATAAGAGAGGCAGCTGTCTGTTGTATGAGGAGGAGCAGAGAGCCTGGACTTCTTTTAAAGAATAGTTTTGTATATTCTGGAATTCCATACAAATGGGTTCACATATTAATCCATTTTTTAAGATTTCCTACACTCAGTATAAAGCTTTTGAAGTTTATTGATACTGTTACATGTATCAGTGATTTGTTCTTTCTTAGGCTAACTATTGATAAATATATCAAACTTTATTTATTCCAAACACCATGGCTGCAACAATGGGCTTAAGCCTAAGTACAATTGGGATGGCATATGACTAGACAGTGTTTCGTTCAGTTGTGCATAAGGTCGCCATGGTTTGGAGCTGACGTGATGGCACCTAACAACAACATGGAGTGTTTCACGAACTTGCATGTCATCCTTCCGCAGGGGCCATGCTCACCTTCTCTGTATTGTTCCAATTTTAGTATCGTGGCCGCCGAAGCAAGCACTGTATTCTTTTTTTTTTTGGTGCCAATTCCCTGTTATTGTATGCTTTCTTCCAGTTCATCCAAATGAACACTTATAATCCCTCTAAGTAGTTATTGCCCACTCTGGTAATCATCAAAGAATGTTTCTTTTTTTGTGAGCACTTCTTAATTTTTGTAATTGAGATCCCATATAATATTCTTTTTTTGCTTAAATAAATTTACTCAGCATAATGTCCTCCAGGTTCATCCATGTTATTAAGTGTTTTTTAAATAGTTAGTCTTTAATAGTTTTTTAAATAGTTTAATATTGTGTGGTATTACCCATTCTCCCACCATGGGCATTTTGATTTTTTCCATAATTTTGCTTTTGAGAATAGTGCTGTAGTGAACATGGATGTGAATATATTTGCTCTTACTTCCTTAGGATATATACCAAGTAAAGTGATTGTGGGGTCAAATCATATTTCTATTACCAACTTTTTTGGGAACACACTTTCCAAAATAGTTGCGTTGTTTTATGATCCCACTTGTAGTGTGTGAGGGTTCCAGTTTCTCTGCACTCTGCTGTTATATGTTTTCGTGAACTTTGCTGTTATTGCTTGGTTGAGATGAGATCTCATTTTAATTTTTATTCGCATCTTCCTAAGGAGTCTTGCTGATGCTGTTAGTTAAGTACTGAGCTGCTCATCTCAAGGTCAGCACTTCAAACCCACCGAGGCTCCCAGGGCGAAAGATGGGACTTTCTGTTCCTGCAGTTCTTCCCTGTCCTCCAGGGCAGTTACGGACTTGATGCTAGTGGGTGTTTGGAAGGGTAATGATTGAGCATTTTTTCATGCTTTTGTTGGCTGTCTGCTTGTCTTCTTTGATGAAGTGACTATTCATGTCCCCTCTTACTTTTAAAAAATTGTATTGTTCATCTTTTACCCCTTGATATGGTGAAGATTTTTGTAAACTTTAGAGATTTGTCTCTTGTTCAATATATAATTGCCAAAACTAATTCCTAAATAGTAAATGAATTAAAAATCACTAACAGAGATCTAAAAATATCTAGAAATAAGTGATCATTAAAAATCCCTATCGGGCCGGCCCCAATCCCAACTTTGTGGACCCCCCCAGATGAATGCACTTCAGAGAATAGCACTGAATCGACAGCTTGGGGAGAGGGGCACGTCTGATTAGCGCACACAGGAGAAACAAAGAGGGATGCAGAGTGTGGGGAACTCATCCTGGCCCACCAAGCCCCGAGGATGATATTCCTGCACAGAGCAGACAATGTATAGAGAGGGTCATAGACCCGGCCCCACCACCAGACACAACATCCCTCACTGAACCATAGCATTATGGGGGACAACACTGGAGAAATAGTGCGGGAATTGTGTCCATTCTGACCCCATCACACTGGGGCGAAACATTAAAGGCATGCAACAGAGCAGCAAGGGAAGTAAAATGATGAAATCCCCAGGGAATATATTAAAAAAATAGACTTTGGGGACCAAGTGTGGCACCCCATCAGATTCGACTGTCAAGTACTCCTAAAGGTCAAAAAAAAGACCTGGAATGATTGTAGGCGTTTCCTTTTTTGTTGTTGGCTTTCTTTTTGTTGTTGTTATTTTGTTTTTGTTTTGTTGGTTTTGTCTTCCTTTGTTTTGTTTGGTTTTGCCTGATATTTGCACTTATTAATATCTCTGCATGTCTATCTAGGTAGGATAGGTGGCATAAACAATTTAGAGATGAAAAAAACGGGATTGATGGTTCAGGGAGACACGGGAGAAGGGGAGGCCGGAGAAAGGAAAGGGAGTGGGTAATCAACCCAGGGTCAAGGGAACAACAAGTCAACTAAAATCAATGGAGAAAAGGGCCTAGGATGCCTAGTGGGGCTTAATCAAGGGCAATTTAACAGTGAAGAATTACTAAACCCAAATGAAGGCCGTGCATGATGGTGATACAAGAGGAAAGTGAAAGGAAATAGAGGAAAGAACCAGGAGGCAAAGGACTTTTACAGAAGTCTCAGTACAGGTATGCACATATGTAAATATATTTATATGTAATGAGAGGGAAATAGATCTATGTATTTATTATCTATATTAAGAATTAAGATAGCAAATGAGTATTGGGCTTTGACTCAAGTACTCCCTCACACATGAACACTTTGTTCTAATAATCGGTATTCTGTGATGCTTACGTTCCCAACAAGATCGCTGAAGACAAAATAGGTGCATTACCAAATGTGGTGAAGAAAGTTGATGGTGCCCGGCTATCAAAAGATATAGCGTCTGGGGTCGTAAAAACTTGAAGGTAAACAAGCGGCCATCTAGCTCAGAAGCAACAAAGCCCACATGGAA